GTTAAACACTCACTAATTTTAGTTAAGCATATTTATGTTTAGCATTATTTACATTTAGCACTGAAAAATATACTCGTATAAAAATTAAATTATTTAAATACTACAAAAATGCATTCGCTCCGTTATGCTCGTGCATATACTCCAACATTTTTGCGAGCCTTTACTGCAGCCATGATGAATAACAATGGGGTAAGAGTTGTGTGTGTGTGCGTGACAGAGAATGTATATAAATAAAAGTGTAATTATGAGAATAAATATGGTTTTTTTGTATACAGATCTTGTTAATATTTGAAGTACTTATAACCCTGTAGACATTTTTCCAGCGTATTCTTAATTGTAGAGAAATTTTGAAGAATTCGTAAAAATCTCATCAGATTTTTTGCAGAATTTTCTAAAATTAAATAAACTGTGCACACTTCGATTATTTTTCGAAATTTCCGGAGAAAAATCGGTAAAGTAATGAAAATGGTGCTGCTATGTGAAAAATTTCGCTGAATTGTATAGAATGTTCTTTGTTTTTCGTACATAAATTTCTTTACGAGTTCGTGTCAACCACTTCATATAACACAGCCACACAAAAAAAAAATGTGTTCTGACCCAAAGGTCTCACTATGTGTGCTATATGTTTTTGGGGTCGCTGAATCCGAATCCGAGGTCCATTTAACCCCATCAGTTCAGGGTTTTGATATAACCCCAGAAAACCAATATGGCGGACACCTTTTGGAAAAAACTCATCGGATTCGCTTGAAACTCGTTACTCGGGGGTTTTCGGGTTCGCTAATTACGAATATGATATTATTTTTTCAAAATTCAAAATGCCGGATCCAATATGGCGGACACATTTTTGTAAAATTCATCGGATTCGCTTGAAAACCGTTACTCAGGGGTTTTGGGAGTCCGGAGTTTGGGAGTTTTGGGATCGGATCCGCCATTTTGAATTTTGAAAAAATAATATCATATTCGTAATTAGCGACCCAGAAAACCCCCGAGTAACGAGTTTCAAGCGAATCCGATGAATTTTTCCAAAAGGTGTCCGCCATATTGGTTTTCTGGGGTTATATCAAAACCCTGAACTGATGGGGTTAAATGGACCTCGGATTCGGATTCAGCGACCCCAAAAACATAAAGAACACATAGTGAGACCTTTGGGTCAGAACACAAATTTTTTTTTGTGTGGCTGTGTAATTTTCTTTGTAGATTCTTAAAAAAAAATCGTTACAGAAATGAGATACTCCTAAAGAGTTCGGGAATTTTGGGGTTTGCAGGGAAGTTACATATATTGATAAGGTTTTGAATGTGTTTTTTTTTGCCAAATTTTTACCTTGATTGGCTTTTTTATTGTGAATTTTATTACATATCGTCAGTATAGTATGGAAAGTGCGTAACTCACATCATCGCTGAAATACAAAAGGCCGTAACTAAGGCTGACTTCCAAAACGTATCGTAAGTGTCGAATTGTTGTATGTGTTAAACTTTAAAAGCTTAAATAAATGTTTAGAGAACTTGAAACCAAAAGCAACTATTTTTTAACACTGCGAAAATTCATAATATGACTTTGATGGTACTTTGTGAACCCCCTTAGTATATTTTTTAGGCGTTTAAAGTTTACGATATACAACAATACCACACTTACGTCACCGTTGTGAATACCCCCAATGTTTGGATACTGTCATACTGCGGTATTCAAACTGTTTGTATATACAGAGTTGCTACACATTGCAACCATGTACGTTGTATATTTTTAACCGACTTTCAAAAAAGGAGGAGGTTATCAGTTCGTCGGAATATTTTTATTTTTATTTTTTTTGTGTATGTTACTGCATAACTTTGTACCACGTCAACCGATTTCGATAATTCTTTTTCCATGGTATAATGAAATAACTTAAACTTTTTTTATTTAATTTTTTTTACTATGCAACCACTGGCCACATTCAGAAAAAGCATTCCTTAATGCTAGGAAAAAAGTATATTATTCTAAGGAAATTGTACCTTTAAATGGCTCCAATGACATGGCTGCCCTAATATGAGTAAACGAATTGACTCAGTTTAAGGAAAACACAATTTTTTTTTTTTTAGGAAAATTTTAATTTATCATTTTGCTCGTGGCGCTCAAACAGTGGCAATGGCCGACAGAGCAAAGCTCTGGCGTGCTAGTCGAGAGCTGCAAGGTCGAGTCCCAGAGCAGGAATTTTTTTTAATACATATTTTTTTTTATTTTTTTAGTTGTAATTTTTAAAATTGTATTTAAAAAAAATATCTAATTTATTTTGTATGGTATTTGAGTATTGAGGTTTTTCCATATATGAAATTAATTTTACTATTTGTAATTTATATTTAATTTGAAATATTTGACTTACCTTACTCTAACCACCTCCAACCGGACTCGAACCTGCGATCTCAGAACCAGCAGCAGTAGTGTTCACGCGACGCCACAGCCGACATTTGCCAGGAAAGCAATTAACTTTGTTTTAACAGCACTGAAAGAACTTTTTACAGTAAATGTCAACTAATTTTTTTTTTAATTACCGACCTACTCGAATTAGGTAATTAATCTAATGCTGGATTTCCACTAGGCATTAAATGTCAAAAATGACAAATGACAAAGTCGGGCATTAAAAAATAATCGTGTCATTACATTAAACAAATAGTCATTAAGTTCATTTTCACATGGCATTTTTTTAAATGGCATACATATTTTGTCATTTCAATGCCTAGTGGAAATTCGGCATAAGTTTAGCATTTACAAAACGACCAATTTTTATGTAGTAAATATTTTTAGATTACAATTCAAACCAGAAATTTGATGCTTAACAACTGCTAACCAACTACCTCTCTTTTACCTTTTAGATGGCTACAAAAATTCGTGCTGGTCCCGTTGTTGACATTCTCGGCGATGAAATGACTCGCATCATTTGGTCTTCGATTAAGGACAAGTTAATCCTACCTTTCCTCGACATCGAATTGCACACGTACGATCTCGGCATGGAGAATCGCGACAAAACCGATGATAAAGTCACCGTCGATTGCGCGGAAGCGATTAAGAAGTACAATGTTGGTATTAAGTGTGCAACTATCACGCCTGATGAGAAGCGTGTCGAAGAGTTTAAACTGAAGAAAATGTGGAAATCACCCAACGGTACTATTCGTAACATTCTCGGCGGCACTGTGTTCCGTGAAGCGATCGTTTGTAAGAATATTCCACGCCTGGTTTCGGGTTGGGAGAAACCCATTGTCATCGGTCGTCATGCGCACGGTGATCAATATAAGGCTACAGATTTTGTGGTGCCCGGCCCTGGCACATTGACACTGACTTTCAAGCCCGCCGAAGGCAACGAAACCATTTCTCATGAAGTATACCAATACAAAGGCTCCGGCGTCGCAATGGGCATGTTTAATACCGACGATTCGATCGTTGATTTTGCGCACGCTTCCATGAAGTATGCTCTCGCAAGAAAATTGCCGCTCTACTTGAGTACCAAAAACACCATTCTGAAGAAGTACGATGGTCGCTTCAAAGATATCTTTCAAGAAATCTACGACAAAGAGTACAAGAAAGATTTTGAGGCTCAAAACATCTGGTATGAGCATCGTCTAATCGACGATATGGTCGCTTATTGTATGAAATCCGAAGGTGGCTTTGTCTGGGCCTGTAAGAACTATGATGGTGATGTACAATCGGATTCGGTTGCACAAGGTTTCGGGTCGTTGGGTTTGATGACATCAGTGCTGATCTGCCCGGACGGCAAGACAGTCGAGTCAGAGGCGGCACATGGTACTGTTACACGTCACTACCGTATGTATCAGCAAGGCAAAGAGACATCAACCAATCCCATTGCATCGATTTTCGCCTGGACACGTGGTCTATTGCATCGTGCGGAATTGGACAAAAACGAGAGCCTGAAAAAGTTCGCCGAAACGCTGGAGAAGGTGTGCGTTGACACCATCGAATCGGGTAGCATGACCAAGGATTTGGCTATTTGCATCAAGGGCATGAACAAAGTGCAACGTAGCGACTACTTAGAGACATTCGAATTCATGGATAAGCTAGCTGAAAATCTGCAAAAGGCACTTGGGCAATGACTTTCCAAGCGCAAGGCGCGCATTGCAAATAATGAAGGCAACCGTTCGCATTTGTGAGATGCAAGTGATGGTATTACTGAAGTTAGATGTTATACATTAGAGCAGGGTACCCAGTGTATGATCCATTGTTCACATAAGCAAATTGTTTATAAATTTATGTACACCTACAATAAAGGCTTTTATATTTGGTATTGTGTGTACTTTGGGTGTATCTTTGAAATTTCAGGATTGAAGAAAATTTTTCATATTTACCCACGCTGAGTTTAATAAAGCATTTAAGTAGTTTTTCTGACGCGCAGAAAGTCGAACCGTTTGCAATCGGACAGCACACGTCGTGGCCGAACTGACATTATATTGCGCTACCTTAGACGCTAAGAAACTGGAAAACTGCGACACATGAAATCAAAATTATGGATGCTCTACCTGATCTTACCATATTTGAAGTGATGTAGCTCTCTTTTCTTCCTGGATCCTTCCTTCGCTTTCGCCTTCTTTGTTTATCCGCTAGATATCATGCGTCATCACGAATGTAGCATCGTCTCAGGTTATTTTGAACGCGCTTATGACCCGGTGAGAGCTTACCCTTAACACCAATTTTAGCGTTCCCAAAACTGAGCTCCATAAAATAAGGATGAGCACAGCATATTTGAGTGCAAATCTGTTTTATCTGCCAATTTAATCAGCATGATGGCCACCGTAACACCAAAGTTCGATTCCTGGTCAGAACAACCTCAAATAAGTAAGGCTTTTCCTAATAGCGGTCGACCCTCGACAGGCATTGGCAAGCATCTGAGTGTGTATTTCTGTATTAGAAAAGCTTCTCATATAAAACCGTCTGCCGTTCGGAGGCGACGTAAAACTGTACCACAATTAAGAAAAAAGATACTCAACCGAATACATAGCAAAAGAGCAAGCGCCATAATATTATTATTATTAATCAGCAGGAAAAGTGTGGATCTTCGGCGATACTTGGAGGTTCTCAAGCCATTCCTATATGATCCCACTATCAGGCTGACAGGCACTATGCTACCGAAATTATACTTCGACAAGCCTTACAAGGTCAGAATATGAAGCGATAATAACCAGAAAAGTCTGGCAATGGCCACCAACCCAGCCGTCTTCGTTGAGAGACAAATGATGCCAGTATAAATATTACGCCGGATAGTCAGCAGCTTTAAAGGCCTTAGACCAGTGTGCGTGGAATTGATGTCACGTGTGCGAACAAGTCGTGCAGTGGAATGAAGCTTTCGCTGCCTTCTCAAGCAGAGCGTCTATGTATACGCGAATACGATGCGCAGTCGCCCGCCGGGTAAACGCTGCCCAGCTGTACCGTAGACTCATTTAGAACTGCATCAAGGCTTATTGAAAAACTCTTTTCAACCACCTAGCAGCCCACAATAGAGTTATGCTGTGGTCGGCGTTGGGACATGAAGGGTTTGAAGACAACGAAAGAGCTGACTGTGTCACAAAACGTCGAGCCCAATCAAAGGAATTCATAACTCCTTCCATAAGGAAGTCCGAAAGGCTTCTGCAACTTAGCCGGGAAGGTCTTATAACTCTTACAGGCTAGACACCGAAAGTTAGGGTAAAATTGGAATAATATGGAGCTTTCTGTAGACACCGACTTTAGATTTTGTGAATTGGCGAACAAAACTCCAGAGCATATTCTATGTGACTGCCGACGCATCATGAATCGCAGTCTGATACACCTTGGAGAATATCTTCTCCTGGAGATTATCTTCTCCATACCTTGATCATACGGAGTTAAACTTCTGCGCTGGTGAATTTCGCTTAGCGGTAACTGCAAGTGATAGATTACCTACGAGTTTCACTCCTGGAGTGAGAGATATACCAAAATCTCCGTCCACATGTTTTGGAGTACCTCCTCCCTGGTGAATTAACCAGGTCTAAGGCTCACTAATAAAACCTAAACAGTACGTTGGCGATATGGCATCGAAGACAAAGAAGTACATACTCGTACGTTCATTGAAAATCAATTGGAAGACATGCGTTAAAAATTACTTTTGAACAGTTGCATACGTAACCCACTCATTGATTATTCTGGCGTTACATCTTCCGTTCCAATGCTTCTATTCTCTTTCCGCTCAATAGCTCCCGTTCGAAAGGTCTTTAACCTCACATCAAAGCTCGTCGAAATGCAATCGCACCAGATTTTTACACTCTTTCGCAAGAACAATAAAAACACCAGAGTTGAGCAAAATTTTTGTTTTATTTTCTACAAATCCACACACATCGTCCAACGCTAACTGACCAGCACTTTTGGGGTTTCAATTGAGCTATGCACAAGTCAGCTTTTATTAGATTTGTCGCAGTGCTAGTTGCAGTCTTTCGGAAATACCCCAACGAGCAACATGCGTGTACCGATAGACACGCGTAAAAAGCAAAATAAAAAACATTAATTTAATAATAAAAAAAAACAAAACACTCGCAAGGACCCGCATTTCTTTTCGAAATTTCAATAAACTCACCATCATTTTGTTTTTGTGTTTAAATACTTACTTAAACTACAGCGCGTTGAAATCAAGGAAATGCTATCAAATCTCAAACGGCCATTAGCAAGTGTGTCCTTCGTATTCCCTCCACTGCTGTGGGTGATAACATGTTTGTTGGCGTCAGTGAGCGGTTATCCTTCGAACACTTTTCGCGATCTCGATATCTGCAATCATTGGAATGGACGTCGACATTTTCTGGAATTGGGCGAACGTGGCGATTTGCATGCGCGTAATGTCACCACATCCGCTTTTCGAGTGTGTAACGTGTCCGTTATTTTGCGTATCAGTATTTAAAATTATATCTCCTCACTCCCTATAGAGCACCCTATTCTCGCCCACAAATCCTAGCCAAATGAAGAATCGCAGCAGCACAGATATTTGGTATCAGTGCAATTTGGAGCTGGTGACCTGCGCTGAGTGCGTCATTCGCATAACATTCACGCACATCAACTTCTCTAAGACGTGCGAACGCATTGCCAATTCGGGTATTGGAAAATCCTCACTTTGTCCTTGCGAACATATTCAATTCTCAGAACCACCGTATGACACAACGATTTCGGGCCAGGAGTTCTGTGGCGATGGCAAAGTGTTTCGCAGTAAAACGCGTACGTTGTTGCTGAAATTCTTCTATCGCGCAACCAATAGTCATGTCTTTTCGCTGCAGTACTTCTCGGAAAGTATGTCGTATGCGTTTAATATTCGTAGACATATTCGCTAATTTCCAAAATGTTTTTTTTTTTGTTTTCTGTATACTTATTCTAACTCAGGGAATGTTAAAATTGTTAGCGGCTCACCACGGCAGGCCATAATCAGTAATTATTCCAAAAATGAGCCGCATGTCATCTCAACTCCCTACTTTCCTATGCCATATCCTCGTGATTACGGCATTGAACATATACTGACATGTGAATCGGAAAACTGTCAAGTGCGACTGGATTTTACCGACTTTCAGTTAGGCCTAACCTCAACATTGGAAATATTCGATTCGAACGGTCAAATGTTGGACTCGTACACCGGTGAACATTTTCGTCCGCCCATCACAATTAGCAATGGTAAATCACTATTGTTGCAATTCCGTGGTAACGGTAATACGGGTGTCGGATTTCGTGCCGAGATATCTTTCGTTTCATCCAAGCAATTGAAGGAAGATCGTTTAGTGCCATATACAGGTGAGTTTTGGTGTAACTTTAGATAAGAAATTAACGAAAGGGGAAGTTACTTAACACCATTCAATAGTAAGAACTGAAAACGCTTCATTATAAAAAAAGATTCATACAGCCTCTTTGAGCTCCTTGTTAGAAACGAATTTAGTTTAACCAGTTAAACTTGCAGCTTTTAAGTTTCAGCATGATTTTTACGGATAAATCTCATTTAGAAGACCTGCTTTGAGTAAAAGACTTCGTGGCTTTCAAATTGTGGCCGCAGTTATGGAATATTTCAGAAGTAGTAGTACAACTTTATTAGCGCTCCAACCAATTCTGCTCCACAGTAGAACCTCTCCAATGCTTTTTTTGTTTTATCGAGCTTACGTTATCTTCCTGAGCTTAAAGCTGTACAGTCCGATCTACCCCTAGTCCTACAAGCATCCTTATAGGGAAGAACATTTCTTGTATCTTTGAACTTAACCACCAATATGGGTTTTCTGCTTTAGGGAGGTCATTTGGGAAGGGCAGTAATTCTTGCGGCTTCTTAGTCCCAAATATTGCTCGCCTTTACTATGTTGAAAGTTAGTACGACCTTAATGCACTCTACACCCGTCGCGACAACTTTGTCATCAATGGGAAGCTAAAACTGCGCATTCAGCTTCCCAGCTACGGTAATGGACCGTAGAGTCCTTATTAGAAAGGGTATTTCCTTTCTGTACGTTTCCTATTATAGGAAAGCCTAGTGGTCCAGGCGGTTTCACAGCATAATAAGTAGTTCCTGCATTCATTGCTATTAGATCTTTTACTGTTTAAAGGCTGCCCTTCGTATTCCTATCGATCCTTTTCTGGACGGATGTGGGTGGTCGTAGCTTTCCTTAACTATTTGTGAACTTTACAATTATGATTTGAATTAAGTAAACAATGCTTAGCCATTTCATGCAGAGATCTATGGCATTCGATAAGGGACTTTACGCTTTTCATGTGTGAGTCTAAAGCATACACGCCTTCGCAGTGCAGGCAGGCGTTCGTTCAACTTTCGCCATCCGGAAAAATCATTACCAAGGAAGCAAATCTTGAAGCGACGCAGTTCTTAAAAAAAAACGCAACTAAACAATCTCGTGCGAGCCAAATATGCTCAGATTGGGTTGCTAAAATTGAATACTCGAAAGGACTCTCTACGTTAGCCGCCTCGTCTTCGTGAGGCATGCAGGAAATCTGAGTGAATTTAGAATTCGAGGATAGATTTCGATGATCTACTTGATACAGCTAAATGAAGGTTAGGGGCATTTTTCTTAAATATATGTACGTTCCAACCGTTGATTTGAAAGGAAGGAATTATTTTAAATCATTTGCCTTTCGTCTAAGTATATGCTGCATAGGAATTTGTGGATACACCTCACCAATTGAAATATTCGCTTAGTTCAAGTCTGCAATACAATCCAAAAGTATTGGCTAAAGGTTTGGTTAACGGACAGTGGTCTTCGCGATGCTTTCCACATCTTTCTCGTATCTGCAACTGCGACAAAAATCGTTAGTTGGGTATTCCGACCTCTTTCCATGCGTCCCATTAGAAAATGTTCGGTGATTACCGCGACTGCTAATTTGAGGGAAGAGCGGTCAAGCCGTGTGACAGCAGTGGATCGCTTTACCTAGATTGTTGGCCTAATTCGCCTGGCAGTATGGCAGTTGGTTTCTATGACCCACGTTTAAGTTCCGCGCTTGCGAAAGGTTAGTGATATATACATATGCCCGCGTCTTGAGCAGAATTGTCTTCGAATATTTGTGTCCCTCTCCTTTCCAGCTCGTCGGCTGTGCAGTTTGCAGGAATGCATTTTGATGCCAGCAGGTCGAGTATCCTTCTGCTACTTTGGACGTTGTTCCGTTAGATTTTAGAGAGTTAATAGCAGCTTGACTGATATATAGTGATAGGCCGCTCGGGAGAAGCAGTAGTCATGAGGCGCCGAGTGGCTTATATTATCGCGTTTAGCTCTGCTTGAAAAATACTACAATGTTTCGGCAAGCGTAGGCTGAGGTTGAGTGCGAGTTCACCAGAATAAATGCCGCTCACCACCCTTTCGTTTGGAGCCATCTGTATAAACATCTAGCCACCGACCGTAGTTCCGGTATGTGGCCAATTTCTATTCGGTCCTCTCAAGTATGCTTACGGATAATTTGTTATCTAAACAGAGTAGCGGACTGGTAGAATTTTCGGCATTGCTATAGAATATTCGGCAGAGTTTCAAGGACTTTTGCGTGTCCGTATCTGACGTCTCTCCACGACTGGATCGCTGTAGAGGTCCGCCGTTGGTGCTCCCGTGTGAAGCATGAAAGCCGTCATCTGTATACGTTCCAACTTGGCTCTGGACAAATCTTGTTAAACGCCGGCCGCCAAAGACGAACGCTTATTCTACTTACGTTTACTTATATGTAAGTATGTATATAAATAAATTTGATGACGTTAGAAAAGACCGAAACATGCGTTTACGGCATCACGTCTTACATAGTGTTGCACGTTTCCTTAGGAGTGTGTCATTCTAGAGGATTTATTTCAATAAAACGTGAAATCAAGATTATACTAATCTATGTCAGTAGTACATATTTCTCATGCAGAATAGACACACTTACATACTATGTATCTTAACACATTGAGTGCCATATGGCACGCTTTTGTAAGACACCTAATACCTCCTGTGGTGCCACGTCGCATTAAAGCATACGACAGCTATTGTTTCACATTCGACCTTGTCGTTCGCTTTCGATGAAACTTCGAATGTTTTCAGGGTAGTAGTCTGATATTCGCAATACATTTTTGCTCCAATTTTCCTAACGTTGGAGTAATATTTGTCTGTTTTATGATAAGAACACTGAGGTATATTTTGTGTTTGATGAAAACTTGCTTGGGCTCTGTTGGAGACTTTCGTCAGATTCGCTTGCCACTCAATGTGTTAATACGAATACTACTAGTGTATGCGCATACGAAGCCACTACATTCTTACCGCGTCAGAGGTGTAAGCAAGAAATTATATGTATTATTCCAAGAGCCCTGCAAAATGTATCCAACAATAAATACGTTGTGGGTCTTCCCTGCCATTTGACAGGGGCAATCAAATTGTGATATTGATTAACGTTAACGATACGTTCCTCTTTGCTTCATACGTGGGAAAAGTAAATACTCGCGGACTATTGCGGAAAACAAAGGCGAGAATATAGACGGGCAAGGAGAAATAAATAGATATCGCATAGCCATGAGGAGGTTAACATTTGACCTAACCGCTTTCGTCCTACAATTCATGAATGCAACTGACTTTTTGTGTTTATTTTTACTTCTTTGGCTGTAATACAAATGTATGTATTATTTTTCGGTTCCTTTGTTCTTTTGTGGGTAATCTATCTATCTGAGTACACCGTCTTTTACAAGCGGCTTAACTCTTACGTGCACCATTGGTAAACAACGGTGTTATTTGCTTTTTTATTTTGTTTAAGAGAAAGGCAACTATTCAGAACACGCGGTATATAGTAGAGTGATGGTCTCGCTGGCATGCCGTGCAAACTAGCTTAATCTGTAGCATACGACTTTATACGTATTACGCCCTGGTATATGATGTTTTTGCTATTTTTTTTTTTTTTGTGTTCATTTGCAGATTGTGGCGGCATGGTTTCCGGACCAGGTGGCGCAATCACGATGATGAATATGATCGAAAATAACACCGATGTAAGATTTTACGATTGCATATGGATAATTAAGCCTGGCAACAATTATATGATGATGAAGACACACATTTCGCTGCGCGTTGAAGAATTTCATGGCATGGCTTCACGTTCGGATCTAACCATACGTCAGGGTACAACATCGGATGCTGCTGAAATTGAGAGTGTTGTTTGGCCCAATAATGGCATGAGTAAAGAGAGTCACATTGTGCCGGTGCTAACAGGCTACTATATACGCCTGCGTGGTGTCTTCGGCATGTCATCGAAACTGGCCATTTCTTACAGTGTTTTCAACTATTTAAGTAAGTTGAACCACACATACTTAAGTATGGCCATTAATGGGTTAAATTTTTATTTAAGATTGTTATATTGGTTCGGAATTCCTTTGCGGTAATAATCATTGCATCTCAATAAGGCTACACTGTGATGGCTTTGATCATTGTGGTGACGGTTCTGATGAACCAGAATCATGCGAAGAGGATTGGGCGCATTTACAAAACGATCGACGCTGGTACTCACACAAGCCGAATTATTATTTTCCCAAAATAGAGCAGTATCCTGACTTGAAAACAGCTACTGGTATTTTCATAATAAGTACGCTGGGTATTTTTGCCGTACTAACGGGTTGGATGGTCATATTGTACCGCATGGGTGTGAGGGCACGCCATCAACGCGAACTGCAAAGTCATCTGCAAACTATTAGTGAGCTACTAGGTAAATAGATTTCATGAGCTTCTGTTGTATCTATAAGCGAAGATGCTGTATTTTGGAACGAATTTGCATTATCTATTGTCAAGCTTGGTTTGGGACAAACCAGTTTCGGCGTTGAAGCTGGCACAAGGGATGACGGAAATTCGTTGCAAAATACTAGGAATGTAGAAACAAAACACTGCATCCGCTAAGTGTGTCATTTTTTATATACCAATTCTTTCGCTTAATTTATAAGTAAGTTACTTTTTCCCACACCAGACCGCCAAGAGGAAATGACGCCCGACGAACCGCCCAGCTATGAAGCACCACCCGACTATGAGGAAGTAATCAAGGTTGGCATGGAACAGGAGATACGTGATGCACGCCAACGTCAACGGCGTCGCCATCATCACCATCCCGAGCACGGTTGTGGGCACGCCGCCTGCATTCTACCGCACACACATACCTGCGATCGTCCGACCACATCGGCGGCTGCCGCAGCCATTGCGCTTAACGGCACTGTGGCTATTACAAATGGTGTCGGCGGTGCGCAATTGCCCGATGCAGAAATACGCAATGAACTGGCTAATCGTGTACTAATGGCTACCGCAGCTTGTGGTAATGCTTCCATATTTCATTCCAACATACCTAGTACTCGTAGCTCTAATCCGTTATTTATCAGTCCCTCTTACATCCTTCTCCTACCTTTTTTCATATCATATCCAACAAGCTCTTCAGAAGCTAATATTTTTTTATTTATTAAATCTAAGAATCACGTTTACAGGCGCTGCAGGCGCGTCAGAATCGGGCACAGTTGCGCAGGGATGCTGCTGCTGTCAATCCATGGGGATTCAGTCGGGCCCGACATCGCTTCCCATTGGGTGTGAATTATCCCCAACCGTTGGCGAACAGCCGGAGGCCGGGACGAGCTCGTAAGTGACACTAGGCTTGGTGCTGTATTCCTGAACCATTTTTATAAATTTTTTTTTCTTCGGTTTGCAGTACCGGAACGCCCAGTCAACTTGAGGAACGAAGTGCCGAATTTCGAGATGACTCACTCAATATATCGCTCACTCTAGGCATACCACAAACAACAATGGCTCTTAGCGAAAATAGTAAGATTTGTGTCTAATTTGTATTTATGTATTTTCATTGAATAGATTTATGACGCAATGAACTTAGGTTATTCCGGCAGACCCCGAGGGACTTACTTAGACATTAATTAGATTGTGCATTTTGTTACCAGATTTTACAAATACTTTGTACGGTAACTACAGGGTTCAAAGTTAGGCAGCCGGCTGATGTCCACTACGGAGAGCTTTTCGGGTGTGTTGATGAATCGAGATGGTTAAACTAGCGATGGTTAGTCTAACAAATACCGGGAAGCTGAGAAGGAAGTGCTGAGATGACTCTACTTCGTCTCCCAAACAACTGCAGCAGTAGGGATCCGTGGCGATATTAAGTCGCACCGCGTGGCTTCCTAAAGACGCTTCAGAGATTCGGCAGTCTGAACTCAAGATTTATTGAGAGTTCCTGGCCGTAAACACCTCCTCCAACTTTGGCGTCCCGCTTCGATCCATCCGTGTATTGAACCTCTGCCGCAAATGATCTTGCGGTAACCCAATGTTTCTTAAAGGAAATCTAGCTTGTTCACAGGATTAAGTTTCCTACAGCTTTGACTGAAGAGAAGGTGAAAAATCTGGTTGTTTGTAGACCATCACGAAATCTCTAAAATGTGAACATGCAGCTAGGTTAAATAGCCACTGCGTGCTTTCGTAGAGAGCATTAACTACAACCGACTAACTAAGCTGCACAGTCTTCACATTCATTCTATATCTCCCGTTTGTAACCCAACTAGAAGACCAGCGTCCCCCCTTCTAAGAGCTAAAAAAAAATGTGTGAACTGGCTGTCGTAAGCACCAAGCGTTTTAGTTCACAATTATCCTGCCCGTTGGAGCGTGTATAAATCAGGTCCCTATTCTTTTGAGAAAAGTTTCCTTTCATAAGGCTGTCCTCCAGACCAATACCCTATGCAATAATATCGGCCCAAGCTTTCACACGATCAATCGAAGAATGCCTAATCAGACCATAATTATAATTTATTATTCCAGATTCAAATGTTTCATCGCGCCCCAGGAGCACAACTAATTACAGCGAACAAACCCATTTGAAACGCTCCTGGATTGTTGTTAGTAACGGTACACACAACTACAAAGTTCAACGTTTGCGACACACATTCTCCGTGCCAGAGTCATTCCCAATTGATGCCTATTACCCAGATGTGCTAAGCTATGGTACCAACCTACCACACGAACGGTAAGTGGAGATGGGAGTTATTCCGTTTAATAAATATGGACAGTGGTTGCAGTGAAATGTTGAGTAGTTTATCTGAGATTGATCTCTAATTTGAACATAAAAAAGCTGAGCAGACATTCTTCAGTTGTAAAAAACAAATAACCGCAAGCGCTATATTCATCTAAATTTTTTTAAACTCTTTCCAGCCAACTTTTCCTCAGCAACGCCAGCAATTTCGGTTCAGAATTATCACGCGATCCTTCAGCGCACTGCATCAATGCACGTCGACTCCAACAGCAGCAGCAATTCAATCAGCCGATAACGAGTCAGCAGCAACGCAGCGCAATTCTGCATCTATACGATGACAATACAGCTAACTGCACGGATGTGGGCGTGGCATCGACTTCGCATAATCAACAAACTCACCAAAATCGTTCACCTATTTCGGATAATTTGCGACAACCTTTATTGCACAACGAAATGGATAGCGATTGTGAGCATGAAATATCGTGTTTTGGTGCGGTAAGCAATCGTATACATGCCCGACGTAGTCATGCCCGTCGTCATGTGCGTAGCAAATCCTTCACCAACTCAACCAGCTGTAAGCAGCACCACCATCAGCGTGTCGGCGGTGGTGGTGTTATGAGACGCAGTTCGTCGGCCGATTTGTTGTTGCGTTTAAGTCCGGCCACTTCACCGTCATCGCCACAGGAATACCATGACTCGGCGGATATCAATGGTCAACAGTATACAAAGCATGAAGAACTGATATTTTTGATTTAAAGTATGTAGGTACCTAAGCGAAGGCATAAGTAAGGGGGGGATTTTGGAGAAAGGTTGTGAAAGTGAAATTGTGAAATTGTCGATGCTCCTATCATGTATCTCGAAATCGCATCATTTTTGCGGGTGTAATGAAAATTTAGAGAGACTACTTTTTGGGTGCTAGATATGTATGGTGAGAAACAAATTCGAACATGTAATTATATATACATATATGTATATGTTATGCTGAAGTATTAAGGACCTTCATTTCAAAATGCCCAGGATTCGAGATACATAATCAGACTGTTCAAAGTTAAAAGGTGCATAACAAAAGTTATAGAAATTGTTTGTATTTTTGTGAATGTGATTTAGTTGCTAATTATTACAAATAAAACATAACCCATAAAGAGCTACATACTACCTTTACGTTTACGACACACTATCACCTGATTTGTGTATGATATTTAATTACCCATGTGTATATTTATTACTTTGTATTCATTATGATTCCCAGTACCTAACATAACGCCAAATATGTATGTAAACAAAATCAAATACCTGTTGCTATGTAAAATGGAAAATATTAAATATTTCAAATACATATAGATTTAATGGAAAAGCAGTAAATACAAGCTAATAAAAGTATTGACAACACTAAATTTGAGAAATAATTTTTAAAATGTTTTCCTTTCTTCCTAACTACATAGAAATATTGCGTTCGCAAGTCTTGTTTCTAATTGCGTAGCTAAATATATCTACAAAGTCAATATCAAATAGAAATGGAATGGAAGAGAATACTCGCTGACTCGTCTTTACAGTTTCACTTAATAGTAATTTTTTCTTTTCTCTAAACTTGGCTGTATTCTGGGATGACTCCACTGCATATGAGCAGATCTCACGAGTTGGTTTTTTAGTGTCACTCCCTCCTCTCGGCAGAAAAAAAATGCTAAAGCATTCTTCTTGCATTTATTTCAATCAATGTAGTTCCAGAAGGAAGTACAATAAAAATTATATCAAGTATTTGGATTGGATTGGATTTTAGCCTTAAAACGTTTACTAAGGCGAAAAAGTACCGAAATGAATCATTTTTCATTCGAAAAATTCATAATGGTTTCTTTAATAACTTTGGCAGTTTACATCGACATCGTCGATCTGAAATTAAGTGGCAGTTCAGAAAAATAAGCTAAAGAGGTTAGTCATAGACGGAAAGGTCTAGGCAAATAGATCTCCCCTTACAAACTGGACAAAGTTGGAGAACGAAACACTCATCAACTCTTGACAACGAGAAGCACGGTAGATAACACTGTGCTGGGTTTCAAGTCACAACGGGATAGAAAGAAACGAAGTCGCCGACGTACTAGCGAATGACAGCCCAATGTCTGTCATTGTGAGGTAAGAAAAACTTTGCGGACTCAGTTGGTATTCTTCGAGACTTACAACTAACGCGTAGGTAAACTCAGAACGCAGTCTGGTTAGCGGTAGAGTGACTAAGACAGCCCACAACATGTTGTTAATGTTGTTGTTGTAGTGGCTACTAAACCTCGCTCGGCTTGGCACGCTCATCCATCAACGTTGGGGTCTGGCTCAGCTAAAGGGACTAAGTGCGCTACTTCCATTTGGGTCTGTCCATAGGGACAGGGACGTTAGCTGAGTGGGATTTTTTGGGGGGCATTGCGAAGAGGTGCCGTGAGTAATGTGGCGACTCTGCGCATGCCGGGCACTCATTGGTACGGTGACCATTCGTTCCGATTTTGGCGGGACAGTACCGATTTTGAGAAAATTTCCCCGCTAAATATTTTTTAAAAGTCAGAAAGTCCCGATTCTTCATATTTGTACCGATTAAATCCCGATTTTCAGTGCTTTCTTTATTAATTTGACAAAAGTCACCGTGTTCCCTGGCCCCAAAACCATTTTGCCTACAAATAACATAGAATATAAGGGAGCCATAAACATAGCCAGCAACCTTATTTTCTATGATCTTTGGTTTTGTTTTATTCTGTCAAACTGCTACTTTCGCTATATTGCAGTTTCTTAAAGTTTTTGGAATTATTTGTTAAGTTTTTTTTAATGAAACGATTCTAACTAGAATTTAGTGAAACTGTAAAAAATAATACTAATTCCCTTAAACAAATTCATAGATATGAAAAATATAAGCTGTAGATACAGTGGCGAAAATATAAATAGCGAGGAGACATTTAAGCATTCTTTGGTTTTCCTCTTTCGGCTATTTAATGTTTATTATTTTTTTAATGAAATTGTAGCGCTTTATCTTACAAAATCCATGCAAATCAAGTATACAGTTTTATAGCACATTCAATTTTATTGCCAAAATTTTAAGTAGCTAGGACTTACCGTTGATTTTTGGTAAATTTTTTTTTTTTGTGAAAGGTGTTGCTCATTTTCTCCATATTTACAAAAAATTCGTCGAACATACTTCCTATGGAAGAAAATGCGCAAACGACAAATTGCCAAAAATCAACGGTAAGTCCTAGCTATTTCAAACTTCTACTTTATTATACTAAAATTTAATGGGATACAAAAAAATCTAAAAAAACTGATTGAAAATTTTAAAATGTTGATGAACTTTCATTAAAATTCGTCGAATTTTTTTAAGTGTTCTACAAAGCTGAACATTTTTCTTTACACGGTTTTGTTAGATAGTAGGATATATTTTCATAAAAAATAGTAAACATTTAAAAACATTAGTCACAACTTTCTAAAATGTTGTTTCCCAATTTAAATAAAACTATTTTGTTATATTTTTGTTTATACGTATGTATGTATATGTCAGTATGCAGTTATGTAGTTAAATATATGTGAATTTTATTCATCTTCATTAATACTAAATATATGCGTACATACGGGTATGCAAGTAAATTTATTGTGTATATTTACGTACATACAAACATATAATTAGATACTATGAACTCCCGCAAAACTTTCGATTATAGAGGCGTGAGTGCTGCTGCAGCGCTGTGTACATATAACTTTTCTTATGCGTACTTATAGTATACTATTACATACATAAATGAATAAACATACATATCGTCACTTGAAATGCAAAAAGACGTAACTAAGAAAACATTCAAAATTCAGTTTTTGATTCATATGATGGATTTCATGGAATTACAACTCCCACATCATTTAATGAAAAAAATAAAAAAAATTTTAGTCACGATTTTTTCCATTTCAGTTACGATGTTGTTACGTCTTTTTGCATTTCAGGTGACGATATGCATAAATACATACGTGCAATATGTTTTGTTTTTTTTTTGCTCTTTTTAAATATGAGTACTCTGTTAATTTATTACTAACACCAAGGAAACTAATATTAATCGATTTTGACTTATCGGGAAATTGGCGTAAATTCAAAAAAAAATCCTTTGCTACTGCATGGACTTATCATAGCCCATGGCAAGAAATATTTTCTTTTTCTCTCTGCTTTTCTAGAAAAATTCAATATCGGATATGCACCGGCTTTCGAACAGAAAAATACTGTATCCAACAGCAATACATGATAAAATTCAAAGAACTTTGAAAGAGAAAAATCTTAAATGATTATGACCAAGGCATATTAAATAAGGTACAAGTGATTTTGACATTTCTCTCTTTTGAACACCGACTATAATGTCAAATGATTAATAACTTTTAACCGTTTTCAAGTTGGCCTTTTCTATTTTTCATTAAAAATTCAATTGCGTGCTGTGAGATAACATTTTGAATTGTGTGACAGGTGAAGTAATGAAACAGCTTTCTCGCTTTATTTTCCTGACGTTCGGCTATCTTATACAAATTTTTAAAGGCAAATTTTCAAATAAAATAGTGTCAAATCTTTTATCTTGCTCTTATTACTGCACCTGGTATAATTTCACCATGATGCGTTTCGACTGATGCTAATTTGTAGCAAATATAGCACTCGCACCTCAAAGGGTTAATTTGTTTGATTACAGTTTTTTGATATTATAACTAGATGCAAGAGAGTTCGAGCTAGTTGTCACTTCTACTTTATTAAATATGCCGTGATTATGACTTCACTTCCATTTATAAAAGAGAGAATATTTTCGAGCGCTAACAGCGAAAATAACGTCAGCGCCATTTTTTCACAATTTTCTTTTTGATGCACAAATGCTTTTAAAGCATTTAGCAGCATTTCCGCATTAAAAAGAAAATTTTGGAAAAAAATGTTCCTTAAGTTATTTTTGCGCTTAGGTTTTTTCAAAATCAATATAACCAATAAACTCGACATCGCAATGTAATTTGATTTGCTACAATATGAATCGGAAATGCAGTAGAGAAAGATTTTGGAGCCCCCAATACGTTCAGTCAAGATGGACCAGTCCTTAAAATGTCTTACATATTTCATTAAAATTCTAGCGCCATCAATTAAGTATATTATACATACATATGTATATTAGATTTCCAATTTAAATACTTTTTCCAAGTGTAATGTGTCACCTTCCATTCATAATATTTTTGTGTTAAATAGTGTTAGATGGTTATGAAGCCGTACGTTACACTGAAGCTGATTATACATACATATATATATATTTTTTTTTAATATTATACATAGACGTACATACATATTATGTATGTAGCTATATTACTGCATAAAATATAGTTTTTTTTAAATAAATACACATGTGATATGCACATATGTGTGTATGTATGTATGTATGTATGTATGTATACATATTGTCTCTATTTTAAAGCAGACGAAATTCGAAAAATTCTTTATATAAATACACGTACACGTAAGTAGAACGCACGCATATGTATGTATCACTTTTAATAAAGTTTTGTCCTTAATTATAGTTTCTTTTTTTATTAAGCTTTTTTTTAATAGCAAAAAAGACT